CCCCAAAACCCCAAAACCCCAAAACCCCAAAACCCCAAAACCCCAGGGATTGGGTGGGTGGTTGGATGATTAGGTTAATAGTGGGTTGGATGTTCAGTAAAATGTTGTTAATTTGTATTGAACATGATAGGATATAAGGAGACTGGAAAATGTGTAGGTTCTTTCGTAAGTTACTAAGGAAGCTTTTTCATTGTTAAAGAAATAATTAAAAGATTACATTTAGCATAAATTTTATATTCATCTTATGATTTAATTTTCCTTATAAATATCCTCTCTGTATATTCTCATGAGGCTTTGGGTTGATAATACTTCTGTTATGTATACTGTTAGTGTGCTTTTGCATATTAAGGGCTGATCTTAAGGCTCTTAAAATGTGAAACTGATTTTCACGATTATCTGAATAATTTATTTCACGCAGAGAAGTGCTAGCCTTATTTTGAAAATATCCCCTTTCTTGGATAAGGTGGCTCAATTTTAGGATTCTTGAAATATGGTGTTCCTCTTTTTGAAGGAATATTTGAATCATGGGACTCTAAGGCAGGAGATGCTTTATTAAAGCATTTTGGTTTTCCACCACAGTTATGCATGGTGTCATATTGATCTGGCTGGCATACTGCGAAACTTCTATTCTTTGCTCATACCAAGACCTTAGGCATAATGCAATTGTTTCCTATTGAGATAATCCTCATTCTATCTTTCGGATGTTGATTCTCTTTTAACTTATTTTGCCTCATTAGTAAAACAGCTTTCCTTTTTAACTCCTCTACATTCTGGGCTCATACTATTAGGTTTCATCTTGGTATTTCTGACCTTATTGCGTGGTTTCCCTTTACTTCCAAACTCTCAAAACGGATCTTCTTTCTTGAATCGCAGCTTAAGCTTCCATTGGTTGTTGTATGGTTCTGAGAATAAAGATCAATCTCTAATGGATGGCTTCCTCTTCATCAATCCTTCAGGGAACATGTTAATCTTAGGTATTTGTTCTTCTTCGAACTCTTCAAAGTCTGGTTCTTGGGACTGTCTTCTACTTTTACTGTTGATAAAACCTCTTTCGTTATATTTCAGCGTAATTTTACTCATCTTTAACAGAAATTATTAATTTTTTAAAAAGTATGCGTTAAATTATTTCAGTTTTAGATCGATGGGTGGGGTTTTGGGGTTTTGGGGTTTTGGGGTTTTGGGGTTTTGGGGTTTTGGGGTTTTGGGGTTTTGGGG